AACTAGGGATTCTTTTCCCAGCATTGACTACTGTATACAGAGCCAGCCCCTGACACTGTTAAACCATGTTATGGAGACTTTTTAATTAACTTCATTTCCACTGAGGGCATTACCTCTGCTCTCCTTCGGTAATAAGGGAGCTCTCAGATACTTTTCATAAGAGGCCCACCAGAAGTAGTAAAATAAACTACCTCTCTAGGAAAGATAAACAATATTATGAGTCTCCTGCTTTTGACTGTGATGATATTCTATGGCAAATTTACATGGCAGCCCTGTAGTCTATCAAAAGGAAACCTCATGGAACTCAGTGGAATTTATTGCTATGTTGTAGAGGAATCTAAGGTAGCTCAGTCTCCTTGAGGTCCAAAGCAATTTAGCTGTGACAGCTTTTGTTGGATGAAACCCAGTGGTGGGATTCAGCCAGTTCGCGCCACTTCGGCAGAACCGGTAGCTAATTTTTTGTTGCCCAGGCCCAGAATGGGCTTCCGGAAGCGGCATCCACACAGAGAACCGGTTGTTCACATATTTGAATCCCACCACTGGTGAAACCTAATGGCCTTCATAGATTTTTCAGAAAGCTTTATATGCAGTTCTTTTAGCTGATTGGAATTCTAAACCAACGCTTTTAGTTGGCAGTATTCTGATTGTACTCCAACTGATTCCTGCGATAGATTGATTTGATTTAATTTCTCAGAGATGGACCAGAGTTTCTCAAATTTTGGTGAGAAATCGATAATCTCTTCCCATTGGACAAGCTATGATAAGAATAGACCTTGCAGATAACAAAGTAATAAAAAATAATAATTTCCAAAACTCTTAATTGACTTTAGCTAGTATGAAACTTCAGTATTCTTATCAAACCAATTTCATGATTGTATGCAAACATATATATCAATGTTCCCAAGTTGCATGTTCATGCTTGAATGAAACAAGAAGATCTTTGTCTATGGTTTTAGAAAAGACCTGATAACTAAGATCAGGCTTTAAATCTGTTGGGAAGGGAGAGGGATAAGAAAGAATGGTAATTTCCCAGCATCGGAAGAATAAAGGGAGGAGCATTCCAATGAATGAGTTGACAGCCTATATTAGACAGGCTAATCCAAGTGCCTGGAGAATGAAGCTAAAGGATTCTAAAAAAAAAAAACCTTAAGGGGAATAAAGATGTAGTTTATTGATATCAAAATTCAAATCCATGGGACCAACCCATGGGGAGCTAGGAGAAATGTCATCATAATAATTGTGATGTCATTGTAGCTTGTAGCAATTGCCCGTGATAATATATCTTCTAAACAGCAGGACACTTATGGTTGCCAAAGGGGGTAGCTATGTTGGATTTTTCCTACAAAGATATTACAATCCTGTGACCCCCCTTGAAGAAAAACAAATTGATTATCAGTGTTTTACAGATTTTATCAGTATTACAACTTTGCTTGCAAAAAGTTCATAATCTAAAGTAAACATCAAGGAAGATATAGAAGGGAGTGGAGAGAAGGGAAAAGAATAGCAAAGAAAGAACAGATGCAATTGTACATACTTATAATTGGTTACTAGTGGGAATTGAAGATTAAAGCAAACATTTTTTTTAAGAAAAGGGGGTGGCAGATGTGAAAAAACAGAGAAAATAACCTTTCCCTGTGAACTTTAGATTGGGCCTTATTTTATAAACCTTTATCATGTTGCTATCATCCCTTTTCTCCTCTTTTCTGAATTAAGAGACCCAAACAGGATACCCTTTCCTTGTAGGGAGTCATACATTGCTGGCTGGGTAATTCTGAGAGTTGAAGTCCATACATCTTAAAGTTGCTAAAGTTGAGAAATGCTGATATAGACATCTTAATACTGGCAGTCTTTTTAATAATTTATTTCTAGCACATTGTTCACCGTTCCAATAAATGTCCTACAGACTATTATTTTAATTTTCTTATAGATTGTGGTCCTAAGATAATTAAACATGTCAGAAGTTCAATCCTACCAATGTGCACATAAATGTCATGGCTTTTTTGGGGGGAAGGGTGTCTCTTGATACTTACTTGCCACTTTTTCTTGTTTCCTACCTTTTTTGTCCCCCTGATAGCTTCCCCAAAATAATTTGAGTTGTCAACGAATGTGGCTCCTTCATTGCTTGCTGCCAGTTTCAAGCTATTTATGTATAAGTTGAAAGGCAGTTGCCACCAAATAATTCTTTTGTAACCCTTCAGTTACAAAAAAAATGGCACTTGGTTCATAGTTTAACCATTTACCAATCCATATCACGGCTGCCAAATAAGTAGTGCAAAATCAGAAGATGTGGCGAGACCTGGCCCTTAGAACCATCAAGAATCGGACATAACTGAATGGACATCATCATCATTCTCCTCTTCCTCCCCTCCTCCTCCTCCTCCTCCTCCTCCTCCTCCTCCTCCTCATCATCATCATCATCGTCATCGTGACTGCAAAATGTACTTGGGAACCTTTGCAGAAATTCTGTTCCTTCATCTTCACTGACACCTGTTTTGCTTTTTGCTGGATAAATTATAGATAATCATGCTTTCTCTTAGTTTGCCAAGAGCCCTGGGCCAGGGGTAGGCAACCTTGGCTCTTTTATGACTCATGGACATCAACTCCCAGAATTCCTGAACCAGCATGGCTGAGCTTGGAAACTCTCCCTTTCCCCTCAGCATGGCTGGCTCAGGAATTCTGGGAGTTGAAGTCCACGAGTCATAAAAGAGCCAAGGTTGCCTACCCCTGCCCTAGGCTAACCACTGTGTAGTTTTCTAGTCCATAAAAATGGATGGTGGTGTTTAGGTATTAATCAGAGGTTTATCGTGTTCGTTTTTTATTTAAAAGTTCACTTTTGGGATTTAATTCCATCCAGACCTAATGCATGCTACTTTTTGTGTGTGTAAAGAAGGCTGGAACATCATGGCTGCATTTGCACAACACGCTAGCTGTAGTTTATTGAATTAATCCTATTGCCAGGGATTGCATGGTACAATAGTCTGTGCAAGCTAATCACAGCAAGGCAGGGTGGCTTTGCACAAATTATAGAACTACCAGATCAGACTGCAAAGAATCTGGGTGACCATGAGAGAAAAAGCAAAGAGTAACAAAATTCAAATACTTTGATTCATCTTGGGATTATCTAGGCGGGTCTGTAGCCCAGTGTATTCATAATAATAACATTTGGATTCTTACACTGCACAAAATCTGGATTTTTAAAGAGTCCTTTGTAACTGCTCGATTCTTCCAAGTTAATTCATGGATATCTGATCAATGATTTGCAGATTAAGTCAATGGCCCAATTTTCCACAGATTAAATTTGGACTGCAAAAACATGGATGATCAAGAGGTGGCAGCAGAGAAAAGATACAGGAGAACTTAAATTCTTGCAGTTGAGATCTGGGGGACCTACACATATATTAAGCCACAAAGCAGCCAACCAACCCTAGCCTTCTGCATTTTGTCAATCTAACCTAATTTTAAGACTCATTAAGACTCATTTCCTGGAGGGTGAGGGGATATGTTCTATATCATCCTGGGAACAGAAAAAGTAGTTTCTGAGCTTTTCACAAGACAGAAAGGAAGCTCTGCAGGAGCAGGAAACAATTCACCGTGAAATTTTGGAACTGTACAATGTTCCATTTCAACCATTATGATATTGATTAAACATACACAATCACGATTTAGATATCGTGCTTTTAATTTTTTTTGTTAATACTTCAAATTATGAAGATGAATAGTTTAAAACATTATAAAATCCTAAAATAAGTCCAGCTTTCAAATGCTAGGATTTGAATACATCTTCTTGAAAGATACATTCATGATAAAGTATTTGTGATCCTGTCAATATGCAGAATACATTTCCCTCCCCATCGTAACAGCCATTCCTCCCGGGTATTTGGACCAGGGCTTCTACTGTGCAGCATATATCCCTGCAAGCTTGAACATCTTCTTCTGAATGTGGGTGGTGCTGGAAAGTAACAATTGTATGGTGCCAATTATATAATCAGAAGTACAGATAGTCCTCAAATTACGACTACAATTGCGCTCGAAATTTCTGTTGCTTAGTGAAACATTTGTTAAGTGAGTTTTGCCCCATTTTACGAATGTTGTTGCCACAGTTGTTAAGTAAATCATTGCCTTTGTTAAGTTAGTAACACGGTTGTTAAGTGAACCTGGATTCCCCATTGACTTTGCTTGTCAGAAGGTTGCAAAAGCCGGATCACATGACCCCAGGATACCGCAACCGTCATAAATGTGAGTCACTTGCCAAGAATCTGAATTCCGATCATGTGACCATGGGGATGCTGCAACCGTCAGAAATGTGAAAAACAGCCGTAAATCACTTCTTTCAGTGCCATTGTAACTTTGAATGGTCACTAAATGAACTGTTGTAAGTCGAGGACTACCTGTATGTATCAGTAGGAAGAATGAAGTATGGTTAAGAGTGAGTATGTATTATAAAGAGAGTTTCTAGTAGAATGTGAAATGTCCCCTTTATTTCTCTGAGTGGGAGAAAGCCCCTGCCTCTTTCACAACAGTCGCAACTGGCAGGACGAGCGGATGGCTGGCCAATAAGCAGCAGAGCATCCAACGCTGCGTTGCGATTAACAGACACACGACGGAAAAGACTTCAGTTAGAGGTTCGCGCCCCGGGGCTGCCTTGTCTCTTTCTACGGCAGGATTTGGCCATCAGGGCGCTTCTCGCCGGAGTAGTACGAGCGCTCCCCGCCCTCCCCATAACCGCTGTGCCCGAGGGGGTCCCCACCTCCCAGCGGACCGTTTGCCGCCTCGGCCCTTCTTTCCATCTGCGAGACCTTTTGGCTCCTAATATGGGTTCTAATTAAATTACAACCGGTCCGCGGAGCTCAGGTTTCAGCAGCCGTTTGGCCCGCTCATTGGCTCTCGGTCGAGCAAAGGGGACCAGACCTCGGGCGCCCATTGGCTGCTGTGCCGGAGAGGGAGGGGCTCGGTCTAAACCAAAGGGTGCGCTTCGCTGCTTGGGGACTGAACTAGGGAGAAAGTTTCCAGCGCCTCCCGTCTCCGAGGTCTCTGAGCCTCAGCCTCTTTCCTCGCCCTCGCCCCGGACTGCGCGGCCGGTTCCCTTCTGCTGCCAGCTGTGCGCCCCAGCTCGGGCATGCACAGCGCGCGTCTCGACGCCTTCGTGAGCCACCTCCGCGCAGAAGTGGTAAATTGGCCGAGGGAAGAGGGAAAATCGGGGGGGGGGGGGTGCGGTGGTGGGGATCCTCCAGGCAATAGCGGGGTTCCCGGAGGCGCGTGCACGAGAATGACCGAATGTGGGGTCCAGGTAGGGAGTCCTTCACACACCGAACCTTTAGTGTCTGACCAAGAGAGAGAGAGAGAGCGGGCCGGGACTTCCTAAAAGACGGTCTATGCCGGGGCAGCAACAGGGACTCGCGCAGTTCAGACGAAGCAGCGCTGGCGAGAGCCGCCCGTCTTGTGACTTCCCTTCGCTGGGAACGGCTGTCTGCTGAAGGCTGCCCAGGCAGCAAGACGGGGCTTGCGGCTTCGGCGCCGAAGTGAGCGAAGCGGCGCGCGTTCCGCCCAGACTAGCTCGGGAGCTGTCAGCCCTCTCGCTCGCGGGTTAGGGGTTTGCTAGCTGGTAGGGGCGCGCCGATGTCACTGGTGCCTTTGGAGTGGCCTGGCTGGGAGAGCTGGCCGGGCTGCGGAGGAGACCAGAGGCACCGATTGCAACCCTACGCGGACTCCCCAAGGGGCGAGTGGCCCTTCCTACTTACTTCCGAAGAACTAGGCACCGAATCGGGCAGCCTAGTGGGGAAAAAAAGACCTTCCGACGATGCCTGAATGTGTTGCTTCTCCCGTCTCCGACGGGCCTTGACCCCCCAAAAGAGAAGCTGGGATTGGGGAGCGGTGGCGATCCAGCAAGGATGAAGGAGAGTCAGAGCGCAGAGAGAGTTGCAGGATGGGGCCCGCTGTTACTCAGGGGGGGAAAGATACGGGGCTGAATGGAGAGAAAATTCCCCACGGGCTGGTCCCGAAGGTTCCTCTTGATCCTGGGCTGTTCCAGTGCCGGCTTTGAAAGGTGTGACTAAGCGGAGGGTCGCTGAGTGAGGAGCAGGCAATTTGTCCCCATCCAATCGGGGTCTGTGATGTGTTCCGGCTTTCCCCGATAAAGTGCAGCTAGGAAGTTGAATCCTCCCAATCAGTAATTAAATCTTGGTTAGATATCAATTGCTACGTTGTCAGTTTCCACATAACTGAGGAGCTCTCCCTCCTAATGAACATGGAGAAAGCTTGCTTTTAGGTCTGTCTTATTTTGGTAGCCTTGCCCTGCTTCATAGTAGTCTCTGCTGCTTGTGACAAACAGATGTCCCGTATTGGACATTATGAGAGCAGTCCTTATGGACCACCTTAAGTTTCATCTGTCCCATCTCCAGCTGAGTACAATGAAGAAATGTCCATCATCACATACAGCTTGCCCTCTAGTGTTCTGTAGAGACACTGCAAGCTATAAACCAAAGGTGGTTATGATCTTGGGATGTCTATCTGGAAAAAAAAGTGACATTATAGCAGTGATGGCGAACATTTTAGAGACCGAGTGCCCAAACTGCAACCCAAAACCCACTTATGCATCGTCGAGTGCCGGGTGGGCGTGGCCAATTGGGTGGGCGTGGCTGCAGTGGTAATGGCAGGCTGGGTGGGACTAAAAAGTTCAATCAATCAATTCCAACTTTGCAAGATCTTTTTTTTCCTGCAGGAAGTTGAAATTGACTGATTGAACTTTTTTTTTTTTTTTTTTTTGCACACGGCGGAGGCCTAAAGCGAAAAGATTTTATAAAACCCAGCTGAAGGCCTAGGACTGGGGTGACGGCGCGTGTGCCCACAGAGAGGGCTCCGAGTGCCGCCTCTGGCACCCGTGCCATAGGTTCGCCACCACTGCATTATAGGATTGGCTATAACTGCCCTGATTTCTCAGTATTTGTATAAGAAATGGCCAGCATAGAATTCGATAGGTCTTGTGTTTGCCTAGAATAGCATTACAGAACCCCCAGGAATCTGCAGATTTGAGCCGACTAGTGTCTTCCCTGGATTAAATACTGTACTATTTGGTCAATTGCTCTCTATGTTTGTCTGCCCCTTGGTGGACCACAACTACTATCTTTGCGATGCCACACTACATTTCTCACAGTGCCACTGGCTAGTGCTCTTCTGAGGCATTGTAAGAACTGGGAAATTAAGATGATGATCGGAAGTCATAACCTCAGGGCTGGTATGCCCAGATTGGGAACTGGCATAGGTTGGTTTCTTGGGACGCCAGCAGTTCCGTAAGATGCCAGGTGCTGATACCAGGCCTGGATTCTATGCTATTCATATTCAACTTGCCTTGAGCATCCTTTGGGAAACCTATCATTTAGTGAGAAAATTAAAAGACACAAGTCTTGCTCCACTTTCAGTTCATCCTCTTAGTACATCCTTCTTGACCTGGTGTCCTTTGAATGGCTTCAAGTACAGTCTGCAGAATTCCTCACCAGCATCATTAGTAGTTGGAATGGACAGTCCTAAGGAGTGGAGAGACTGACAGTGCCTCCATGGAGGGCTGTGACAGGCCTAATGCAGGAAGCTGGATATTATGGTATCATCTAAGACAGACATGTCAAACACAAGGCCCGGGGGCCGGATGCGGCCTGCAAAGTGGTTTCATGTGGCCCACGAAGCCATCCTGGAATCAGTAAGGGAACAGCCCCCGCTGCCTTGGCCCTGGCGCAGGCCAGCCGGGAGCCAATGTACAATTTTGTGGTGGCCATCTATGCTGAAACGCATTCAGACTTAGCTCCACAAGGCCGTCTAGAAATAGCGAGGAACCAGCCCCTGCCGCATCGGCCCTGCCCCCTGGGTGCATGCTGGGGAGGTGTCACCCTTTGTGAGGAATGAAGAAATGGACCATGCCTTGGCGCTTGCCCCAGTCCCACCCCCTTCTGCCAGAGACCCTCAGATCTGTCCCACTCCTGCCCAGGCATCCACAGGCACCCTTGACACAAAAGATGTAGAGCTAGCCATGCCCACCCAATAGGCCACACTCACTCCATCCACACCCACGCAGTAGGCCGCACCCACCCTGGCCACACCCCCCCCCTTGAGGGCAACCGCAATGCTGATGCAGCCCTCAATGAAATTGAGTTTGACACCCCTGATCTAAGATGAAGAAGAAGAAGATGCAGCTTCACATCCTATTGGTCTGATAGCTCCCAGGTTGTCCAAAGTTAGTGGCACCCAGGGAAGATCGTACTTACTTGGCATTTTTTGTAATGGCTATAAAAATGTAAAGGAAAAAAAAACATGTTTGATTTGAGAAGTTTGGCTATAGGAAGTGATATCATAGTAGAAGAAGCTCTTTGAATAAATAAAACAGAGAGATGTAATGGATGATGAAAACTCCATAACTTTTAGTGCAATCTCTGCTTTGTACTTATATGCGATGCAAAATTCTTGTCATTCTTTACTGTCACCACAAATGGGGTCCCTGTAAGGGGCTGAGCAGCTGCCAGAACCATTTTGAGAAATAAGCAGCAGCATTATTTTTCTTTTGAAAACAGGCTTGTGTGATAACTCTGATCCCTAAGTACAGCCCTATAATCTCTCAGCATGCGCCAGTCCAATAATCATTTCAGAGGCAGTCTTCCTACCTTTGTGGTTCCAGACATGTTGGGATATATCTACCATAATTCCAAGCCAGTGTGGTATAATTCAGGAAGGCTCTGAGTTTGATGAAGGGTTTTTTCCCCTATGTGTTGTCTACTCTTGTAAATAGTTTTTTTTTATTTTCTTGCTCTGAGGAATGAGTATTTCTCTAACCTTGTACTTTCCAATCATTTATTTATTTATTTGAGTTTTGCCCATTTTATTTTGGTCAACTTAATGTGGCTTAAATACCTAATTCCCATACCTCCTATTTTCCCCAAAACAACAACCTTTTGAGATGGGTTGAACTAGAAGAGTGTGACTGTCCCAAAGTCATCCAGCTTGCTTACATGCTTAAGGGAGGACTAGAACTCAGAACCTCTTGGTTTAAGCATGGTAACTACCTCAACAAACTGGCTCTCATGTTGGGGAAACAAAAAGGCAATGCTGGCTGAGATTTCTGACAGTTGTAGTCTCAAGAGATCTGGAGGATAAACATGGACGTCTATTCTAATCAAGGTGTGCATGGTAGGCTGTCCCAAGGGGTCGCCCTTTTTACTCTTTAAGAATTTACCACTCAGGAGCCCAGATGCCAGAAAAGCCTAGAATAGCAGGCCCCTCTCTCCATCACTACAGCCATGAGGGTAGACAGTCCTGCCAACAACTGGATTTGGCCCTCTGGCCATCTCTGAGGTTCGGGTAGTTGGCTTTGTGGCTGTTTTTTAGAGCTTAATTTGGTTTTAGTTGACACCATTCTAGTGCTGTTCTGTTTGTTGGTAACAAGCTGGCTTGAGGTTTTGGGAAAATGCCATATACATACTATGAATTAATAAATCAGGGTAGACGTTGAAACGTCTAAGTCTGAATTTGGAAATCCTGTTTCTGGGAGTTGCTGCCCAGAGGAAAGACATGTTTTTAGGTAACTTTTTTTTAAAAAAAAAACACCTCAGTTTTGAGACCAGTTTTACATCTGTGATTTATTTAGTGATAATCTAATTATGAAATTATCAGATCAAGGGCAGCCAATCATTTTGCAGCTGGTTGTGCCCCATGTGGCTGTTTTAAGCCTGGGGCACAACACGTAATTTTTTATATATATATATTTTGCCTTTGTGTGGGAAGTTCTCTGTGCTAAGTGTGCACACATGGCTTCAGGGCTTGCCAGTCATAACTGCTCAGGAGGAAACCTTATTTGTTTCCATCTTTTATTCTCTCTTTCCCAAGCTTATCAAGGCAGTATGGGATGGATCAGAGCATGGCAGCCTTTTCAGGGCACTTGGGACCCAGAAACTCTGGACTTTTGCTCCTGTTGTCAGCTGAGAAACCACATTTCCCACTAGCGTTGAAACGGTCTTGGGCACCACCCAAGCTTGGGTTTGTTTCAGTCTTGATTTTTGAATTCAGGGCTGCATTTGGGTTTTTTTGGGGAGGGGGCTGCACATCAGGACAAAACTAACACTTTAATTATTACACAATTCAATTGAATTGAATAGAATAGAGTTTGTATGATTACCTGTACTATATTTCATAAGCTTTTTGGCAATCCCTTTGAGATGGTCTCAGGGGGCTGCATTATTACAAGGCTTGGGACAGGATATAGAGTCATATTCCACAGGAGATGCTAGTCAGAGCAGGAGAATTCCTTTTTCTTTCCAGCTGCTGCTCAGCTGGAATCGTACGGAAGTTGCCTTGTTTCTTAATCTCTTCAATGCTAGATTTGAAGAGAGGATGTTTTTCTCTTAAAATCCCACCAATTGCTGACTCAGTTCTGTGGTGTAAAAGTCTTTTACTGAAAGGAACTTGAATTTTTCCCAGGCTTGAAGTGAAACCTATCTATGGAGTATGCAACAAAACAAAACAATATATAAACTACTTTTAAAAAAAAAAAGAAAAAAAGATTATGTTCATAGCCATGGAATTGGGACTGAACTATCACACCAAGACACATTTGTTCTTGGGTTTTGAGCCAGGCACTGAGGATTATTGTATGCTGTGTCACCAGAACAGCTAAAATGAATCATGTCACTGTCCAAATTATGCCTGGAGGAGCAGTGGCCTGTGGTATATGTTTGATCTGCACGGCAAAGACTTTCAGAAAGCAACAGGAAGTGGCTCTGTAGAAGGGAGAGGGGGGGAAAAAAACCCAAGATACTAGGATTCTGCAGTCTTTGCATTTGAGCCCTCAGCTCTCCCTTTGTCACTCTAGGACTGAGAAATAGGCAAAGGAAGTTTATGGGCTAATGACAAACCATTTTCCCTGCCAGACCAGAGAAGACCCTCAAATGTGTCCTATTCACTACGAGGAAACTACCCAGCCTAGCTTTTATATCTCTCCCTCCCGTTGTGTCCCTTCTTTCCTTTGGCCTATCTTTTTTGAGCACTTAGAAGGGATGTGCTCCTCCTGGCCACTTCCATCTGGTCACCCTGGACCTACAGATTTCTCACAAGAAAGGCCAGTTGACCTTATCCTGGCCTATGCAAACATGTCGTCCTTTCTCCTGGGCAGGAGAAAAATTGGAGAGTCCTCTCTCTCTCTTGCTCTGGGATTTCTAAAGCTCATTAACTCCCAGATGAACTTCACCTTTGCTAACACCTCCGCTGGTCTAGTCTTACCCCTCTGCCGCCAATGGCCTTATCGCCTGCCTTTTCCTCCCCGAATGGCTGCTTGTATAATTCCTGCAGGCTCTCACACACCCTTTGTGTCATCTTCTGCCGGGTGGGGCAACTCACCCACTGCAACAAGCTGCTGCTTGTATGGCCGGGGATGGGCTTGGAACGTGCAGATGTTGCTGAAAAGCTCTGCCTCGGGGCTGGGGACCTGCCAAGACGAGACGGGGCAAGGGCTTGCGCGTGCGGCTCTGGCTCCCAACTCCACCCCTGAGCTGAGGCAGATTGGTGCCCCTCGCCCAACAAGGTGTCTCGGCTCTAGAGCTGGAAGGAGATTCTTGGCATGTAGTCGGTCCTGGAAATCCCTGATGTGTGGGACTCCTTAGGCACTAGAATATGTGGACCAGGTAAGCCGAGTGATAAGAGTGCGAGTGGTGCTTTTTAAATGCTGAGCAGCAGGAAAGGAGCAGCGTCAGAGACCATCATCAAAGGGTTTATGTCAAGCAAATGCTTTTGCCTAAGGGGGCCTGGGTCGTGTGAGGTCACCAGCTCAGATCTATGGAGACATTGATCTTTGTCTTTTTGTCTGGATTCATGACCCACACGTGGCTCTTTATGGATGTTTGTGGCACTAAGCTCACGATATACACAGTAGACTAAGCTGGCTTGAGGATTTCAGCATAGATGTAATGGGTTTGTGGGTTAGCTGTCTTCAGTTGTCATGGCTCTCACCTGGGACTTGAATGGAGCACTTTTCTTGAGTGGATTATTTAAAAAAAAAAATCTTTTTTGCTTTTCCTCCCACAGCTGTGCATGAAGGAGTCGAGCGAGGTGCTGCGAGGCCAGATGCAGTGCATGATGCGGACCCTCCACGATCTCAAGAGGGCTCATGACCGAGAGCTGCGACTGGAACCCCAGGAGATACGGCTACCTTCTGCTCTGCCTTCCTCAAAGTCCTGTATCAGCCCACGGATATCAGCCATCTCAGAAGCAGATTCTGCCTGTTGCTTGGAGGGGGCTGTGGAAGAGGAGGTTGCTTTCTCCCCACCCAGCAGTGAGCGAAGTCTGGAGTTCGATTCGGGCTATTCAGAAGTATCTGGAAACAGTTGGCGGGACGAGGAAGGCCCACCTCCCCTGAGAGCCAGTAAGCTTTCCTCGGGGGGCTTCCTGCGCCGTCGGGTACCGGCCAGGAGGCCCCGGCCAAAATCGGCTTCAGATGCCTGCCTGGAGCGGTGGCGGGATGGCGAGCCCTCAGAGGCAGGGGACTGGACTGTGTCCCTCTTGTCCCAGAGTCGTAACCGGCAACCCCTTGTGCTGGGGGACAACTGCTTTGCTGACTTAGTGGAGAACTGGATGGACTTGCCTGAAGAAAGCAGGGAACGGGGGTGGCTGCAGCGTTGGCTGGCCAAGCCCCACGGCTTCTTGCTTAACCTCTCAGGCAATGTTCGCCGGAGGCTGGCTGGCATCTCCCGCACGGAGCGCACTAAGCAGGACCGGGACGGCACCAAGCGTTTCTCTTGCCCTGCTGGTCTTGGTGTGCGCCCTTCGTTACCGTACTTCCACCAGTCCCATGCCAATATCAGCGAGCTTTCTACAGACTGTAGCAGCTTTGCTGCCCTAATGAACTGCCGAAGTCGGCAGCCCATCATTTGCAACGATGTGATTGGCTACATCTAGCTTGGCTTTTTTTAATGCTTGTTTATAAATAAATGCCTTTTTTTCTATGTCATAGCTGTATGGTGTCTTAAGTCCGACTGCTTGACCCCAGTGATAGTATAATTGTGGTCCAGTTGATTCATCCCCAAATTAAGTCAATTTTCCTCCATAATGCAGCTATAAGAAGAGGCAAAATAAGAGGCAAAGAAAAACTAATTTTGAATCCAAAGTTTCATCTCAGGAATTGAAGCTATGTCCCTTTCTGATCCCTTGAGCTGAGTTGGCCTTGCTAGCAATAGCAATAGCATTTAGTTTTATATACCACTTCACAGTGCTTTACAGCCCTCTCTGAGCAGTTTCCAGAATCAGCATATTGCCCTCAATAATCTGGGTCATTTTACTGACCTTGGAAGGATGGAAGGCTGAGTCAACCTTAAGCCGGTCAGGATCGAACTCCTGGCAATGAGCAGTGAGTTAGCCTGCAGTACTGCATTCTAACCACTGTGCCACTAGGTCTTTTAATCATTAAACTATAGACCTGAGTTAGTGTGATAAACATTAATGTGCCTGCTTTGTTATTGGAGAGTACAAAGTTTGAAATGAGAGACATGGTCAAAATCTTGAGGACTTGCCTAGAGGGAATTGTTGCTTTGTCCCTAAAGAATGTGGAAATAAGATTATTTATCTTACAGGCAAGACTAAACTAGTGTTTTTACTAACTCTGTCTCAATAACAACTTCTTAATGGAAAACATTAGATTGCCTAGAACAGGTTAAGCTCATTTTTCAGTATCAAATTTAGGAAGTGGCCAGGAGGAGAACCATTATGAGTTTTTCAACCATGGGAAATTCAGAAGGATTCTAAATGATGGCAGGAGTTGCATTCTGGCATGTAATGTGCAAGGATACTGTCCAGCTGGGACCTGTAGAGCAGAATTCAACAGCTCTGATGGCCAAATATACATGGCTAAAATAATATTCATAGAAACACTAAGCCTTGGTCAGAGTGGTGTTCCATTAAGTGGCATTAATGGATTCAAGAGTAAATGTCATAAATTAGTGCAACATTACCTGTTTACCTGGAAGTAAAACACATTGATTACCATGTGGATATTACCCAAATAAATATGTAATTTCAATTAAGTATTAAGACCCTGTGTTGTGCGATAGTAATAATACCTGGACCTAATACATACATTTGTTTTAGCGTTATCATCATGTACGCTTTAAAATTAAAAAAAAAATCAAATATGGATGTAAAAATACAGTAACAGTGATGATCAATCACATCAGCAGCTTCAAATATCTGCGAAAAATGAACAATGAGGGCCACTAAAGAACANTAGGGAATTTTAGCGGGGTTTTTTAGGGGATTTTTAAGGATAATTTTAATGATCGGCCTGTTTAAATATTTCTTTTTAATTCGGCTTTTAATTATTGTATTTGTATTGTAGTTTTTATGAGGCTGTTAGCCGCCCTGAGTCCCATGAGGAGAAGGGCGGGGTATAAATTAAATTAATAAATAAATTAATAAATAAATAATAACAATACACAGCTTTTTGTTTTTACTATTTCTAGATACACTAGATAAAAGCCAAAAGACCCAGCTTATTTATCCTCACATTTATCCCTTATAGTAATAGCACTGAGTCTGATAAACATATATGACACAAAATTACAGACATTATAGGAAGCATCTAGATTTGTATGGATCCTCCTGTAAAAATGATCTGAAGTACAGCTTTTACAATCAGAAAGGAAATACAGTTTTGATAATCATATAGGGCAGAGTGTCAAACGTGCAACCTCACGTGACATGTTGCGATGTATCATGACTTTTTCTCCATTGCCAGCAATGGGGTGGACGCAGTTTCGGCATAACGCATCCAGCCCGCGGGCCGGCAGTTTGACACCCCTGATATAGGGAAATATGCTTTTAAAGATTTGCAAACATTAACTGATTGAACCAGATAAATTGCACCTAATCCAGAGTCCATTACCAAAATCAACCTCCAATTTCCTTAGCAAATTAAAGGGATCATATGTATTAGGGCATCCTAACATGACACTATCGTTTTCTGTGTCTCTTCATTGCCATCTAGGAGTCGTGTGGATTTTTGCAGCCCAAAAATGGGAGCCCTATTATGAATGAAATTGCATCCAGTCACTTAGCCTCTCTACTCAAGTGGCCAGTGAGAACCTCCACTTCCATTTAGGGCACAAGGCTGGAAGTTATCAATTCATCTCTTCTCCATGAATTTATCTCAACAATTACCCTTATTCCATGTAGTAGAGAATAGACAGTCACTTGTCTGAAATGGTATAGGTCAGCGGTTCTCAACCTATGGGTCGCGACCCCATTTGGGGTCGATTGACCATTTCACGGGGGTCGCCAAGCAAGGCTGTCCGCCATTTTTTCCCCCTTTTCCAGCGGGTGCCTTACCTCCCTTGAGCTGGGCCAGCTGGTGGTCGGCCTGCTCCGTCTCTGCCGCTTGCCAGCTACGCCTCGGCCGGCGCAGGGGGCGGAACCACGCATGCGTGGCGCTCCCGGGCAGGGAAAGTCCTCGACTTACGACCGGTTGGGTAGTCCTCGACTTACGACCGGTTTAGTCCTCGACTTGCGACCGGTTTAGTCCTCGACTTACGACCGGTTGGGGGTCGCGGCATTAAAAAGGTTGAGAACCACTGGTATAGGTTCTCCTGCTTGAGCAGGGGGCTGGACTAGAAGACCTCCAAGATCCCTTCCAGCTCTATTCTATTCTAAAATAGTAGCTAGGAGTTGATAATACATAATCAAATCAGTCCGTTCCATTCTGGAGGTCCAGGGCAAGGGGAGGAACAAGCAGCAGCCTCTGTACTGTTTTTCTCATGGAAATCAAAGCCTTGAAGATCAGGACCAGATTATCAAATGGCAATTGGCAGGTAAAAGCTACTAACTGTTCCCTTAAAAAATGATCTGCTAAACTTGCTTTTCTCACTGTCTGGCTAAGAGACCAAAGAGGAAGGGGGCAGGGAGGAAGCAGGCTGTCAGACAAGAAGAATCTAGAAGACAATATTAGCTGTTTACTGGGTATGGAATGTCTTGACAACCTCAACCAACCCGCCCCCTTTGCAAAAAAAAAAAGGGGGGGGGTACTAAACTAGCAAAACAAAAATAAAATGGCTGGACAGAAAATCCAGCAATTCTAAAATGAGCTGTTGAAAAAAAAGGGGAAGGTGTCAATATTATAAGCTAAAAGAGAAAAGCCAGAACTTGTGATAATGACTTCCATAAATTAATCAGGCAAGCAAGTTACAGAAGTGATAGGTTACACACCTTTAATTGGTATCTTTAATTTACATGACTTTACAGTGCCATTGTTTTGATCAGTACTTAGTGGGAGTTTCCCACACACTCAGAAGACAGATAGGGTTGAGGGAGCAGCGGTTTTTTTTTAGTTAATCTCTATTCCCTGATAAATAGGCACCCTGCAGCAAAATCCTACAGCTTTTTAGGTTGTCTGCACACATGTTGGCAAAGCAGATGTTGTTAAAAACAAAACTAAAAATGACCTTTTCAGTTTTGCAGATAAAATCGCCATATTCTACCGGAGTGAAGTAACAGTAGTTTTCTACAGAATGACGTAGGCCGAAGGGAGGGGCTGGGATGGCTTTCTAGAGTTACCATGTAGTCCAGATGTTCTTTCTGTTTGATGTTTATAATGAACTTCTCATGTTTTTATGGCTACATCATCTTGGGGCATGCCTACAGCATCCCAAGCTGGATTCTACGAAACACAAAAATATAGCAATTGCCTCGGTGGCTCAAGCTGAGGCTCGTTCAGTCCAGTTTCCTTTTTTTAAAAGAAAGATCAGCTGGTTTACACATAGACTTACACAAACAGGGCATGAGAGTTAAAGTATTTTGTTATTCTTTCTTTCCTGGATCTTATACAAAGATATTTTGCCTCAGCATGTGGAAGTTTCATTAACTACCTTTGCAAATGACTCTTGCAAACAACCTACCTACAGGAACAGAAACTGCAGCCCTTTAGAAGCTGGATTTTAAATTAATTTGTGATTAGCTTTCAGAAGATATTCATTGTGAAAAGCAATATAAACCTATTCTTGCACTACAAATGCAATAATCCAGGATCATTTGAAACGTCATGTTCAGGCTGACGGGGGTCGGAATCCATCCCTGCCCTGAGATCTGATTTAATCTTTTGAAAAGGCTAGTTCATCTGAAGGTCATGATCAGCTGTGATCATCATTTTCTTAAAACAAGGACTTGATCTGATGCCTCTAGATACAACTATCACCTCTAACCACTATTGGTTTGGCTTAGCGTCGTGAGACAAGTCAGACACTGGTTTGTGAGGAATAATGTACAGGCTAGTGCTTACCCATTCAATTGTGACTTATTTGACAAATCATGACCTAGTAGTGTGTGTTTATCCAGTTACGCTGACTGAATAACATGCTATATGAATATAAAATGTTTAAGCACAGTAAATTTGAAATGCAATAATAATAATAATAAGCATTGACTATGGGAAAGCTGATGGGGGGGGTATCCAACACAATTATATTGTATTGCCCACCTTGATCTTATGCAAATGTTGCACTTCATGAAAAAAACAAATGCTTGAATACATCGGCCTTTATGGAAAATTCCAAGCTATTAAGCCATCTCTGGATTTCCACCCAGACTCTCTCCTTTCATACTGATCTAACACATTGATTGTATTATAGCAAATATAATAAATCCAATGATATTCATTATGAAAAATATAAATTAAAAATACATCGAAGAGTGCTTCAAGATGGGGGTTTACTCAAATATTATTAGATTTTTAGAGTTCTTTCTCAGTTTGGAAGGAACAAGATGTACCACAGAACCAATGACAGCATGCGAAATATACTACCAACATAGGGAAATGTTATTATAATGCCCTTGCATTATAAGAGGGGATACTTCCCTCATGAAACGGAAGCCACATGCGGTTGCGATGCTGCCAGTAATGTGGTAAACCCTGTGGCCT